GTCTTGCCTAAGTGACAGTTTGGCACTTAGCCGCAGCCGCCCCACTGTGACACCTGCAGTTCCCAGAGGTCTCCCATCACAGTATTTAACAGGCAAAGTGCCTTAATCACAATCCTGATTTAGTGACTCAAAGAATTACTCCTGCACGTGTCTTACTTTGCAAAATGTGTTCATACTTTTTGCATTGGAATATCATATTATACATACAGTGGGGGAAAAAAGTATTTAGTCAGCCACCGATTGTGCAAGTTCTCCCACTTAAAATAATGACAGAGGTCTGTAATCTTCATCATAGGTACACTTCAACTGTGAGAGACAGAATGTGAAAAAAAATCCAGGAATTCACATTGTAGGATTTTTAAAGAATTTATTTGTAAATTATGGTGGAAAATAAGTATTTGGCCACTTCAAACAAGGAAGAGGAAGATCTGTATAAAAGACACCTGTCCACAGCCTCAAACAGTCAGACTCCAAACACCACTGTGGCCAAGACCAGAGAGCTGTCGAAGGACACCAGGAAAATAATTGTAGACCTGCACCAGACTGGGAAGAGTGAATCTACACTAGGCAAGCAGCTTGGTGTGAACAAATCAACTGTGGGAGCAATTATCAGAAAATGGAAGACATACACTGTACAAGACCACTGATAATCTCAATCGATCGCAAGATCTCATCTTGGGGTCAAAATGATCATGAGAACGGTGATCAAAAATCCCAGAACCACACGGGGGGACATGGTGAATGACCTGCAGAGAGCTGGGACCAAAGTAACAAAGGTTACCATCAGTAACACACTACGTCGACAGGGAATCAAATCCTGCAGTGCCAGACGTGTCCCCCTGCTGAAGCCAGTGCATGTCCAGGCCCGTCTGAAGTTTGCCAGAGAGCACATGGATGATACAGCAGAGGATTGGGAGAATGTCATGTGGTCAGATGAAACCAAAGTAGAACTGTTTGGTATAAACTCAAGTCGTCGTGTTTGGAGGAAGAAGAATACCGAGCTGCATCCCAAGAACACCATACCTACTGTGAAGCATGGGGGTGGAAACTTCATGCTTTGGGGCTGTTTTTTCTGCTAAGGGGACAGGACGACTGATCCGTGTTAAGGAAAGAATGAATGGGGCCATGTATTGTGAGATTTTTAGCCAAAACCTCCTTCCATCAGTGAGAGCTTTGAAGATGAAACGTGTCTGGGTCTTCCAGCATGACAATGATCCCAAACACACCGCCCGGGCAACGAAGGAGTGTCTCCGTAAGAAGCATTTGAAAGTCCTGGAGTGGCCTAGCCAGTCTCCAGACCTCAACCCCATTGAAAATCTGTGGAGGGAGTTGAAAGTCCGTGTTCACTGCTCTCGAGAAGATCTGCATGGAGGAATGGACCAAAATACCTGCTACTGTGTGTGCAAACCTGGTAAAGACCTATAGTAATCGTTTGACCTCTGTTATTGCCAACAAAAGTTATATTACCAAGTATCGAGTTGAATTTTTGTTATTGACCAAATACTTATTTTCCACCATACTTTACAAATAAATTCTTTAAAAATCCTACAATGTGAATTCCTAGATTTTTTTTTCACATTCTGTCTCTCACAGTTGAAGTGTACCTATGATGAAAATTACAGACCTCTGTCATTATTTGAAGTGGGAGAACTTGCACAATTGGTGGCTGACTAAATACTTTTTTGCTCCACTGTATACTATCTTTGCTTGATGAAGGCTTAACACTGAAATGGTGCATATCAAATAAATGTTTACTTTGCAAAGTAAGACGTGTGCATCAATAATTCATGCTGGTCATATCGTCCACATGGGAAGAGTTTAAGGATTATTTATAGTAATAATGTACAGTATATAGAGCTGTCATTTAAACCCATTAATAACAGTGTTAACGCAGTCCCATTTTAACTGTATGCACTGATGTAATAGGCCATATCACATATGCAAACTAAACTCTATGCTTTCTGACAACTTCGGAAGAAAGAATAGAAAGAGCCCAAAAGCGCGTGTCAAAATAGACACTAACGAGGTGTGAAAGTTTATGATAAATAATATGACACTGAGCAGTTAGTGACATGTATAATATGCGCAACACTACACAATAACACACTGTACATATTCTTTGGCAGGTGTATGTGTACAATTAGTAAGTGATAATTTAAATCATTTCAAATACAAAAGGGTAATTAGTTGATAATGAATAATTAATTATATTAATCCAAGGTAGATTATGGCTCAATGATGGCTGTAAAAGTGTGTTCTATACACTGTAAAAAGCAAGCAGATCCAGAAGCCTATCTTAGACAACCCAAATACTTTTTTTTTTTTTTGTTGAAGGGATCGGATTAGTATAAGCTTTTTGATTCATTTGATCCTTGTTCAAACCAAATCAGGGGACGTTTAGAACATGGGAAAATGCGTGATTAATTGTCACTTCTTTTACTACACCATAACAAATATAATTTTACTTGTGTTTATTGTACTCTTGTTTAGCTTTATGACTTTCTTGGTGCTGTTATCCCACAGTTCTCGCAGCTCCATACAATGCTAAGCCGTGTCGTACGCCATTTCCCTTGCGGTAGTACGTGGGACGTATCAAAGCCCCGTGCCTGCCCCACACTGCCCGTCCTGGGACAATCCTGGCTCCTGGGCATTCCCCGCGGAAGCCTGTAGTTCCCGTGGAAACGCTGCTCTGTCCTGACAGCTTTGGCCTCCGGCTGTGACTGCTTCACAAAAGCGTTACACAGCGCTGAGGCGTAGAGTCCCACAGAGCGCCATGACCACCAGCTTCACTCCCACAACCCCGCCCCTCCTCTGCCAGTGTCCAGAGCTGACAGAGGGGCGCGCTCTGCCAGGGCCCCGTCACTGTGTTTGCACTGGCATCTGAAGCATATGAGCCCCTGATCGCTCTATTCACCCCAGCTCTCAGGACTGCTCTGATGGTGCATGCATTCGTCATGTTCTAAATGGGAAAATTTTTCAAAAGTCAAAAAGTCATGTATCATTTCACCTCACATTGGTCTTTTATTTGTATGTGAACTTTCAGTACCATTTTAAACAAAATCTTTGTTAATGGTAAACATGACAAAAATGTAAAGATGCATTAGTACTTTTAAGAAACACTGTAGATTATGTGTGCGGAGACAGACTGATTCGGGCGGATCTTGTCACCAATCAATTTTTTCCTTATCCTTGAAATAAGCCCAGACCGGAAGACAATGCCAATATCAATATCAGATCGGGACAATCCCTATTGCACGTACATATTTTTAATTCCATTGTTAAGGTACTAATGCCCAGTCTATGCTATAGCGAGGGGACACACAGGGCAATAAGGCTGGGCAACCTCTGCTCTAGAATACCATATAAAGTTAACATGCTACTCCAAGCCCATGTACGCTATCAATGGCTCTATACTATGGTCCAGCTCACTGGGAAGCTGCTGCCCTTCGTGAAGAAAGCACAACTTAAACCAACATGAGGGGGGAATTTAATCTCCCTCAAAATATGTGTCATTATAGAAAAGCTCTTTTGTAAACACTCCCATATTAGCTCAGCCTCCAGTTTAGCGACTCTGGATGCAAATAGCAGAGAGAACAAGGACAGAAAAGTCCTGAGGGAGGGTTTGATGTGTCCATATGCATGAGTCATGATAAGTATTAGAAGCAACTTATTCTCATGGTTAAAAAAAATGGAACTCAGCTGGGGCATATTTATAGTTGGGTGTGTGAATAAGAGTGTTGTTTTTTTGTGGACATATGGAGACATGACGCAAAATTTACTTTTTTCTGCTTTGAACCAGTTACAGCATTGTTCCTACCTCAAAAAGACCTGGAGTGGTTTTTAAGCCCCTCTATGCTATGTCTAGGAATCCCAGGAATCACAATATGATATGATATTCAATACATGGCTCACAATATGGTAATATCACGATACTGGCGATGTCACAATTCTCCATATATTGCTCACACAATTGTCAACAATATTGTTTATTTGGTTGGGACAGTACAAGGTAATGAACACATAACTCCGGATTGTAGCCATGGGTTAATTTGCATCCGTTGTCCCACATTCACACTCACAAACACACACTCATTCATTCACCCTGAACTATTGCACATGTTTTTAGAGGTATGGGAAACTGGAGTGTTTTTAAAAAGGGTGAGTGTGATGTCATAGTGTTACTGTGACATCATAATTACAGCACTGAGACACGACTAATAGATAGAAGAGACGGGAAATAGAAGAGACGGGAAATGTTTGTGCATTGACTCCCAGCAAGAGGCCAGTCCCTGAGTCCAATGTGGTTCATTTGACACTTATATATCACAGATGTACTTTGGTGTGAGGCCATGGAGAGAAACCAGTCCAAAGACCTGACACCAGGTCTAATGTAAAAGGATTGCTTGGTTCTACAGCATTTTGAACAAACTGTGTTATCCTCAATGAAAATAAAAAAGTGTTTAGTAGTCACAAAAATATACGCACATAATTAGTATTCACATGTATATTGACCAATGGCACAACCATGCAGCCTTATTTTGGTGTTTCTCATTTTTATTCTGTAAATCAACTTTGTCCATACACACTTTTCTCTCAAACCTTTGTAGGTGAGCACTTCTCCTTTGCTGAGATAATCCATCCACGATATATTGTGCAGGAGATAAAGGCGAGCAACTAATATGCTCTTTGTAAATACCAGCCTTCATTCCTTGGAATACCATGACAATTTAAAAAAAACAGAAAGTTAGTAGCTAACGGTGGAGACTGTGTGGGTTTTTGCTTAAATGCATCTGGAGCAATGTCTGACTGTCGTCTCTCCTTGAACGGAATAAACAGAAGATATTTTAGTCTTGTTTTGACTCCCAGAACTCTGTTTGAACATTTCCTCCCACTCCTTGTCCTTGTGATGCAATGCAGGAATTCAAATATTTTCTAAAAGGCTGGTATTTAATGTATGTGTTTTGGAATAAAGTCTGAACTATTTCCTTCTTTTGTTTCAGGGCCAAATATTTCCGAGGCAAAAAACTGAATGGAGAGTATGAGATCCGGGTGGAGCAGGTAAATATTGAATCCTATTATTATTAGTTATTATTATTATTATTACTATTTTAGACCTGACTTTCTAATTATATCAAATGCTAGGTTGAATCTTACGGAATCAAATGCTAGTTCCATTTTCCATTATCTTGTGTATTTTAGATATATGTTTGAAAGAACAGGTGTACATGGACCAGTAAACAATTGTCTCATTACATTATTTTAGAAGATATACAACTGAAATTATGATACCAAAACTAATCCAGATTATTATTCTGGATTGGTGCCAGAATACCTGAAGCCAGTGTCAAATAATGTCTGCATTCTTAACAAGGCTAGATAGTAACGGAAAGCCCAGCCTTTAAAAGATTCAAATACAGTATCTGTGCTATCTCTGGGACAAATACAGTGCCTTGCGAAAGTATTCGCCCCCCTTGAACCATTCAACATGTCGCCACATTTCAGGCTTCAAACATAAAGATAAAGAAAAATATCACAACAAGTGGGACACAATCGTGAAGTGGAACGAAATTTATTGGATAATTTAAACTTTTTTAACAAATAAAAAACTGAAAAGTGGGGCGTGCAATATTATTCGGCCCCCTTGCGCTAATACTTTGTAGCGCCACCTTTTGCTGCAATTACAGCTGCAAGTTGCTTGGGGTATGTCTCTATCAGTTTTGCACATCGAGAGACTGGAATTCTTGCCCATTCTTCCTTGCAAAACAGCTCGAGCTCAGTGAGGTTGGATGGAGAGCGTTTGTGAACAGCAGTCTTCAGCTCTTTCCACAGATTCTCGATTGGATTCAGGTCTGGACTTTGACTTGGCCATTCTAACACCTGGATACGTCTATTTGTGAACCATTCCATCGTAGATTTGGCTTTATGTTTTGGATCCTTGTCCTGTTGGAAGATAAATCTCCGTCCCAGTCTCAGGTCTTTTGCAGACTCCAACAGGTTTTCTTCCAGAATGGTCCTGTATTTGGCTCCATCCATCTTCCCATCAATTTTAGCCATCTTCCCTGTCCCTGCTGAAGAAAAGCAGGCCCAAACCATGATGCTGCCACCACCATGTTTGACAGTGGGGATGGTGTGTTCAGGGTGATGAGCTGTGTTGTTTTTACACCAAACATATCGTTTTGCATTGCGGCCAAAAAGTTCGATTTTCGTTACATCTGACCAGAGCACCTTCTTCCCCATGTTCGGTGTGTCTCCCAGGTGGCTTGTGGCAAACTTTATGGATATCTTTGAGAAATGGCTTTCTTCTTGCCACTCTTCCATAAAGGCCAGATTTGTGCAGTGCACGACTGATTGTTGTCCTATGGACAGACTCTCCCACCTCAGCTGTAGTTATCTGCAGTTCATCCAGAGTGATCATGGGCCTCTTGGCTGCATCTCTGATCAGTCTTCTCCTTGTTTGAGATGAAAGTTTGGAGGGACGGCCGGGTCTTGGTAGATTTGCAGTGGTCTAATACTCCTTCCATTTCAATATAATTGCTTGCACAGTGCTCCTTGAGATGTTTAAAGCTTGGGAAATCTTTTTGTATCCAAATCCGGCTTTAAACTTCTCCACAACAGTATCTCGGACCTGCCTGGTGTGTTCCTTTGTCTTCATGGTTCTCTCTGCGCTTTAAACAGAACCCTGAGACTATCAAAGAGCAGGTGCATTTATACGGAGACTTGATTACACACAGGTGCATTCTATTTATCATCATCAGTCATTTAGGACAACATTGGATCATTCAAAGATCCTCACTGAACTTCTGGACTGAGTTTGCTGCACTGAAAGTAAAGGGGCCGAATAATATTGCACGCCCCACTTTTCAGTTTTTTATTTGTTAAAAAAGTTTAAATTATCCAATACATTTCATTCCACTTCACGATTGTGTCCCACTTGTTGTTGATTCATGACAAAGAATTTAAATTTTATGTCTTTATGTTTGAAGCCTGAAATGTGGCAAAATTTTGAAATGTTCAAGGGGGCCGAATACTTTCGCAAGGCACTGTAAATAAAGTATTAAGCTTCATATAATCTCTGCCATCAATTTAGTGCTCAAGGGGCATTTATGAAAAGAAGAGGAAAGGAACAAGTTAAAAGTGACAAAATTTTAAACAAAACAAGTGAAATAGATACAATTTTCAGTCTCAACATGTAGTGACATATACACAGCCACCTAAATCGGTAATGCAACAATGATTGAGCAGATCGTATAAGTCTTGTTTGAAGGGGGAAAATATCTGCTGATCGCTCTCTTGATTTACAGTCATTCCAGGGGTTTGGACAAATCTTACTGGTCTGAATTATGCCACGGGGAGAGACTATTTAAAAAGACTAATTAGAGACTAATAGTACAGTGTTGGTCAGAAAGGTGCCTTAAAATGGCCAAGAGGCTAATTGCATGTAACTCCCTATGTTAGTTAGCAAAGCTCGGTACCTATTAGTGTAGGGGATGGATTAAGCCCCGGTGATCCAAGATGGCGTCTTAATCAAATCAATTGCTTGTGCTCAGTAGCGCATCTGCCACCATGGGCACCAAAAGATTAGCAGAACTTGCCCATATTTGATCCTGGTGGACGAGGTGCACAGTGGACGAGCTCCCATGATGCTTTGGGCCATATAAGTGTGTACGGCTCTGACACACGTGCACAGAGGGGCTCGGCTGCACTTTGACTAATCAGAGCTGCTGATCAGAACGAGGCTAGAGCGGAGCAAGAGAGGAGTTAGAGCGGGAGACGATCGAGCAGAGTTTGTGGCACTAATGTGTGGATTAAAAGAAAAACTAAGGTTTTAATAAAAAATAAGTTCAGGATGATACGGGACACTGAAATCCCCCAAAAATCCGACTTTTAAAGCCGTAGGTTCTCTGTCAGCTGAGGTCGAGCTGTTTTAGTTTACATTGAGTTCTATGTGGAAAATGTCTGGGTAGCCCACGTGAATTTAGTCTTATTTAGTCGTTTAGCAGTACCGCGAGAATCCCCCGAGCACATGGGTCTTTCAGCTTCAACCTAGTCATACCCATCCATCCATCCATCCATCCATTTTCTTCCGCTTCATCCGTTGCCGGGTCGCGGGGGCAGCAGTCTAAGCAGAGACGCCCAGACTTCCCTATCCACACACACTTCCTCCAGCTCGTCCGGGGGGACTCCAAGGCGTTCCCAGGCCAGCTGAGAGACATAGTCCCTCCAGCGTGTCCTGGGTCTTCCCCGGGGCCTCCTCCCGGTGGGACGTGCCCGGAACACCTCCCCAGAGAGGCGTCCAGGAGGCATCCGGAACAGATGCCCGAGCCACCTCAACTGGTTCCTCTCGACGTGGGGTAGCAGCGGCTCTACTCCGAGCTCCTCCCGTGTGACTGAGCTCCTCAGGGAGCGCCCAGCCACTCTGCGGAGGAAGCTCATTTCGACCGCTTGTATCCGCGATCTTGTTCTTTCGGTCATTACCCAAAGCTCATGACCATAGGTGAGGGAGGGAACGAAGATTGACCGGTAAATTGAGAGCTTTGCCTTTCGGCTCAGCTCCCTCTTTACCACGACGGTCCGATACAGCGACCGCATCACTGCGCACGCTGCACCGATCCGCCTGTCAATCTCACGCTCCATTCTTCCCTCACTCGTGAACAAGACCCCGAGATACTTGAACTCCTCCACTTGAGGAAGGACCTCTCCACCCACCTGGAGAGGGCAAGGCACCTTTTTCCGGTCGAGCACCATGGCCTTGGATTTGGAGGTGCTGATTCTCATCCCAGCCGCTTCACACTCGGCTGCAAACCGTCCCAGTGCATGTTTTAGGTCCTGGTTCGTTGGAGCCAACAGGACAACATCGTCTGCAAACAGCAGAGATGAAATCCTGTGGTCCCCGAACCGGACCCCCTCCGACCCTTGGCTGCGCCTAGAAATTCTGTCCATGAATACAGTGAACAGAACCGGTGACAAAGGGCAGCCCTGGCGGAGGCCAACATGCACCGGGAACAGGTCTGACTTACTGCCGGCAATGCGCATGCAGCTCTGGCTCCGGTCATACAGGGACCGGATGGCCCTCAGCAGAGGACCCCGGACCCCGTACTCACAGAGGACCCCCCAAAGGACACCCCGGGGAACGCGGTCGAACGCCTTCTCCAAATCCACAAAGCACATGTGGACAGGTTGGGCGAACTCCCATGAACCCTCGAGTATCCGATGGAGAGTGTAGAGCTGGGACGAAAACCACACTGCTCCTCTTGAATCCGAGATTCGACCATCGGCCGTAACCTTCTCTCCAGTACCTTGGAGTAAACCTTACCAGGGAGGCTGAGGAGTGTGATCCCACGATAATTGGAACACACCCTCCGGTCCCCCTTCTTGTAGAGAGGGACCACCACCCCGGTCTGCCACTCCATTGGCACCGCCCCCGATCGCCACGCGATGTTGCAGAGACGTGTCAGCCAAGACAGTCCTACAACATCCAGAGACTTTAGATAGTCATAGCGGATCTCATCCACTCCCGGCGCCTTGCCACCAAGGAGGCTGCCAACCACCTTGGTGACCTCTGCCAGGGTGACAGAAGTATCCGCTCCAACATCCTCAGCCTCTGCCTCCGGAGCGGAGGACGTGACGGGGGGATTGAGGAGAACCTCGAAGTATTCCTTCCACCGTCCGACAATATCCCCAGTCGAGGTCAGCAGCTCACCCCCCGCACCGTACACGGTGTTGACAAAGAACTGCTTCCCCCTCCTGAGGCGCCGGACAGTTTGCCAGAATCTCTTCAAGGCCGACCGATAGTCATGCTCCAAGGACTCTCCGAACTCCTCCCAGTCCCGGGTTTTTGCCTCTGCAACAGCCCGGGCCGCGGCACGCTTGGCCTGCCGGTACATGACAGCTGCCTCAGGAGTCCCCCGAACCATCATTGCTCGATAGGACTCCTTCAGCTTGACGGCATCCCTTACTGCCGGTGTCCACCACCGGGTTCGGGGGTTGCCGCCGGGACCAGCACCAGAGACCTTGCGACCACAGCTACGAGCCGCCGCATCGGCGATAGAGGAAGAGAA